TCACTTTCTAGAGACATAATATGAGAGAAAGATCATCATTTTCTTCAAATGATGTGTCTTTAGTTTTAAGATAACTCTTATTTCTATTTATGGTTTTGTAAGGCTAGGATTTTTGTATAATTACTCATTCTTATGATAACAAGATGCATTAGTGGTTAATATTTACAACTTACATAATTCTATTCTCAGCAATATGGACAAAGTTAATTGAAAACATAATGGCATTTTCTGATATCAAGAACAGATTTGGTATGCAAAAAGTAACCAAGTTCTTGGTTATAACTTTAGAGTTACAAAGAAATTGTCTAAAAAGACGGTTATGAGAATAAAGCAAATCATTTGACATGGAAGTTATTAGGTTTGTGTTGAGAGGTGATTCTCCAAATGTAATTAATATTAGAAACCGCACTACTTTAAGATATAGACATTGATGTTTTTCACTCTTTACAAACATAAGTTGGCAAGGATTTCTGAACATTTCGAGAATGGTTCATATGGTCGCTTTTTAGTTTTATTTTGTCTTATTGTGATTGACATATGCTAGTTTATATTGTACAAAATGTAGGGAAGGAATACCAAATAAGGTAATGAACTCATTTTTCATCCAAAATACAGGATACCATCACACAAGCTTGAACAATATTTAGTTTCAAATCAAATATTAAACTTTTCTTAAGCACATATGCAATTACAAAGAGTTAGCATATCTCTTCCAAGAATATGCTAAAGATAGACACTCATGAAAACAATTTCTGTACAATAAAACACAACACTTTATCAGAATCGTCTGAGTTGGCTAAGAATAGGTGGGTGGGCGATTCCTGTTCTATAGGATCCCTGGAATTGCCTGATTCCCCCGATTTTTGAGTTCTTTTCTTATATTCTATTGTATCCATATGACAATCTTACTCAAGAATTGCGTAAGTCGGACTAGTTGTCTCGGAATCGGTCCCCCAACAAATTTCGATTTGTAAAACCCTGTGTTTAATTCATGGTATCTATGGTTATGCACCTAATCAGAAGAACTGATACATGAGAAACTCAAAATAAGTTCGAATTAACAAAGTATAGACTCCACGAATCACAATTGGGTGGGCAAGGAGAGAGAAAAAGAAATAGTAATGATCTTATTAGACTGACCGTACCCTGTAAAAGAACCCATGAACTAAACATAGAAATTAGTAAACTTTGGGGGTCTTAATATAGAAAGATACATAAACAAATAGATTGAGTGAGTGAGATAGAGAGAGAGAGAGAGAGAGAGAGAGAGAGAGAGAGAGAGAGAGAGTAGTAG